TGTGCTCTTCCGATCTCCCCAAAACCCCAAAACCCCAAAACCCCAAGATATTTTATAAATGCTGAAATAATGAAATAAATATTTCAATAAATGAAGATTAGTAATTTCAATTTAATTCACAATTTATCATGACTTGATTGCACTTTGTATAGAATATTCTGGTAAATACTCTTGAACTCTTTATCGTCGTCTTCTACAATCCCAGAACTTTCCAGTATTTTCATTTCGTTTATGATTCTATCCTAGCCTACAATGTATTACTTGGTAGAGGATTTAGCGTGTTGTTATCTGTCAGGGAAATTTCTAGATAATACTTGAAAGCTTCTCTAATTTTGGGAAGTTTATCTAATAAGTGGGTGGCCATTTTATCTATTTGTGCTATCTTCAACAAATTTTACGAAAGAATTTTCCTCTAAGTCTTTGTTTGGATTTCTACTCGGACTAGTGAGAGTTTCAAATTATTTCAATTAAGAAGAACCTCTATCAGGAGATTATATTTAATGCATATATTGCTGGTGTTTTTATTCATCTTTGCCATACTAGGCTTAGAGGGAAGTCGGAATCATGATAATGGGCATGTTTTAAGGGGCATTAGTTGTAGGCTATTAATGCAATGCCTAAACGCTGCTTCTTCTTGAAAAGAACACATTTTTGTTATTTCTTTCACGAACCGTTAGATTTCCATCTCGATAGCTCTTTTTATTCAAGAGAGTAGATATCCTTTATTCAAAGTGATCTGAGATGTAATACTTTTAGAAAAACTCTATGCTTGTTTAAAGATCAAAGTTTTTCACTTAATTTTTAGAGAGTTAATCCCTGTATTTCAAATCAATCTTCAGCTTAGTAGGTGAATTTCTTCTAGAAATCGTTGATGTGTTCTATAAACCAAATCCTGACTAAGTCTTGGATTACCTCTCAGTATTCAATCCTTAGCTTTCCATTCTTTACTTAACTTTATTCATGATGTTCTTAGTCCTATCCAAAGCTATGGTATCTCTTTATAAAGAGTCTGATTACCCTGCTTGAACTTGTTTGAATAGCTGATAGTATATTATAATGAAATCTTATACTTACTCCTCTCTAAATGCCTATATCTTTGTTTAATGCAGATGGCAGATAAGGTAAAGTTGGCATTGTACTGAGTGATCTGGCTTTGAGAGGAGCATTTATGCTGCTTTTTAGCTATTACACTTCTTTTCTATATATCTTAACCTCTATAAATTTAATTCAATTAAGGTATAATTTATTACTCTCTGGGTCGTCTTAAAAAACTTAGCTCACAGAAAATAAAATTTTGTCATCTTATTCATTTCTGCTCTGCTTATTTGTTTCGATTCTCAGAATAGAATTAGTTTTTTTAGATTTATTATTATTATTATTTTGATCCTTATTTTACACGACTATTCCATTATTAATGATCACTTAATTATCTTTAGATCTTGATTAAATTGTGAGTTTTCTAAATATAGTCTTGCTCTTTGGAGGTTTAGGTTTGCTCTCTAATTAATCTTTCTAAGCCTATTTAAGGATACTTTAGTTTAATATCTCATTATGAACTGTTTGATTATTAGTTTTGAGAAATTGCTAGAAATCTGAGATAAAGTGAAGTAGTTTTAAGTTATTCGATGTAAAAGTGGACTGATCTACTAGAAATACGAAGTCATCTAGACACCCAATCTCGTCAAATCCAAATCTAAGTTACTCCCCGTTAAAGGAGTACAGATACTTGAAGCCTTTTTTACTTAGAGGGGTCGATGATTTTTGATTTTCTGTTGCTTATTTCGAATTCCTATCAACTGATTAATTAACTTCTTAGGGGTTTTCACCATAAAATATTTGATTAGCAACATCAATCAATTCCATATGATTGGGGAAATAGTGGTTCAGATCCTTTGTATACATCTTTCTTTAAATGAAGTCGATGCTTTCATCCACGCTAGCCTTTCTGAAGTTAATTTTCTTTTTGGCCTCTTCCTAGTCATTGTCTTGTTTTTATTACCACATTTAAACTATATTAGTTGGGTCCAAGTTCTTGTTACTAACTGTATGATTACCAGGTTGAGTAACTTTCTAAACCTACTCTTATATTTCAATGTTATTCAGCTCTTTACCGAGTTTAAAGGACACTCTTCCAATGCCTTTCTGAACATGTGAGCTATGAAAGTCCTCAATGTCATCTTAACCTCCTAATCCATGATCATAAACTAGAGGATGCTAAGTGATAAAATCCTTTGCTTATCGAAGTTCAGATGGTGATCTAGTAGATTTTTTTATTATTATGTCAATATAACGGATAACTTCATAATTTCCATCGAAAATTATAAACACTCGGAGGTCTCTCAACATCTCTGAGTTTAACAATACTGATACTGTTTTCTTTGGGTAGGGCTCAACTGTCCTAGAGTCCTTGTTGTTTTTTCTTTTGAGCAGTGGCTTTTTCTTCTTCAAGATTTTTTATATGATGTCCATTTTATATATTAACAATAACTTTATTATAACTTTAGCTGAAATTCTAATTGACATCAAGTTATAGTTATATTAGTTAACCCTCTTTACCAGTTGTAAAATATTCTAATGGGGTTTTGGGGTTTTGGGG